AAACTCTGAGCTCTAATTCTTAGGCGTGAAAGCCAGCTGGGTGACTTTGGGCCAGTCCCTCTCTCTCAGCCCAACTCACCTCACAGGGTTGTTGTGGTGGGGACAATACAGTAGGAGGAGGAAGGAGTATGAGGTATGTTCACTGCGTTATTTATAAAAATAATAAAGTTAATTCTTAGGCGTGAAAGCCAGCTGGGTGACTTTGGGCCAGTCCCTCTCTCTCAGCCCAACTCACCTCACAGGGTTGTTGTGGTGGGGAAAATACAGTAGGAGGAGGAAGGAGTATGAGGTATGTTCACTGCGTTATTTATAAAAATAATAAAGTTGGGATAAAAAATCAAATAATAATAATGATAATCATAAGTCTTAGCTGCATTGTTGTATGCTAAGAGTCAACCCTGATAATTCTCGCTATAGAAACCCCTTAAAGAGAAATCTCCTTCATGGAGATAAGATGGCATTTCAAAGTATGTTGCACTGTAAAAGATTAAAAGGACAGTAAACAGGCAATGCCTATCTGGAACAGAGAAAAATGGTTCCAAATTAAATGTATCCCATGGAGTTCTTAGAAGAGGCAGTGCTGGATGTGTTTATTATACATTAGCCTTGACTTTTTGAGCGCCAAGGCAAAAAGACAGATTTCACATTTTGATCCTTAGCTTGCCAACAGAAGAAAAAGATTTGTTCCACCCTTCCTTGCTGGGTAACAAAAACCATCTTAGGAGACAAAGGGGAAAAATCAGTCTCATTAACCAAAAGCTCCATGAATCTGAACTCATCTAATCTCCTGTTAAATCAGTAACATTACCAATCTAAGCCACTCTATTACACTTCGTCGTCGTCGTCTTTTTTTTAAAAAAACTTAAATAGGATTGTAACTGCAGTTGCTAGGAGCCGCGCATAGCGGCACAGGCAAGTGGGAATATATAATTATTCTCACAAACTAATGAGTAGTGGAAGGCATCAACATCTGGAGAGGGGATAATATATTGGGTATACAGTTATTGTATATGTTCGGCTCTGTGATGCAAGATTGCATCAGTGGAGTCCTTCCAAGGGCCATTCTGGGATGAGAGTAAAGCAGAAGATTCTGCAACCCTTTACCAGAGCCTTTCCAAAAACCTGTGGGTAATCATAATATAATCATAACTGTGTTCAATATCAGTTACAACGCCCCTAGATGTATCATTGAGTGCAGGATACATTTAAGGGGTTGTGGTATATGCAGATCTATGCAGCTTCCCCAGAAAAGTAGGGGGCTTAAGATGGGGGCTCCCTAAGAGAGGGCTCTTCCCATGCAGCCCTCCTTTTATGCTCTCTGCCCACTGGCAATTTCTTGTGCCCATTCCACTCATTCCATTCCTTGGGCCATCAGTCTTGCATGGTCCTGCATTCTTCCCTGCACAGATTGAAAGCATAGGCGAGGCAAGAGGAGCAAGGCAGGTGCTGCAGCTACGAGGTGAGAGATTGTGTGTATAGGGAGGCTGGGAAAGGAAGGGAAGGGAAAGCAGACATAAACAATCAAGAGACAGCAGATGAGTCAGTTGACAGGTTATTTCATAATGACAACTTAGCCAGGTGGCCAGAAACCTGGGAAGAAGCATTTCAATTCATTCAAAGAGACTCCGCCTTAATGACCTATACATGAGGTTGGGAAATGTCCTCTTACAGTTTCCAGGATTCTACACTGACCTCCAGTCTAGCATTAAAGACACCTTACTGAAACCTATGTGGTTCGTGCTTCCTTGACCTTGCCAAACTGCATGGGGCTTGACACAAAGCAAGAGGAAATCACTCTGCTCTAGCTAGAGGATGCAGAAGAGGTGTGCTGTCCTGCCTGCCTACCAGACTATGTGTCTGCAGATTTGACCCTTCCTGCCCGTCTATGGTCCACTGCAGGCTAAGGCCTTGTGGTTGTCCCCAGTTCAGTCAGCATCTGACTAATGCCCAGGCTTGCCACCAGCTTCCCCACTCCCAGGCCAGACCCCTCCAACTTTCTTGGACTGAGGGTCCAAAAAATGTACTGCCTTCTTCTCTGCCCCCCCCACCATCATCTGGGACCCAAGCCACCAGACCCAAGCCACCAGACATCCCCCTCTCTGCATCCCATGTGCTGCCTGCCATGGCTGCACAGAGAGAAAGAGGCTGGAGAACATGGGCATTATTTGAAAGCATGAACAGGTACAAAGATGGAGGTGATCCAGTAGACACAGTATACATGGACTGTCAAAAAGCTTTTGACCAAGTCTTTCACCTAAGAGTCTTGCATAAGCTTAGTAATTATGGGTTAAGTGGTCAGATCTTTCCTTAGATAGGTAACTGGCTAAAGGACAAGGATCAGAGAATAGGAATAACCAATCAGACACTAAGATATTGACTGACTTTTGCTGGTCTGTTTTCTTTGTGTGAGTCAAATGGAGGTAATTGCTATAGCAGTTTTGTAGAAGTGCAGAGGAAAAAAAGAAAGGAGAATACCATTTCCAGAATGAAAGTAGCCTCTCTTTCTCTGGCAAGGGAATTGTGAGTTGTTCTCTAAAGAAGATCTTTTCTTAAGAAAAACAACAGCAAAAGTAGTAGAAAGTATTTCAATTTATATCCAATATACTTTTTCTAGGTAGGACTGAGTTATTAATTCAAGTCCTGTGGGTATTTCTTTTTAGAAACATCATTTTGACTTCTTAGTTAATTTAATTTATTTCCAATATTTGTAAACATTCAATTAAGACGCTGGACTGTGAAAGACAAAAGCAAGAATAAAACAAAAGCAAAGTAATAACACAATAGTAAATGATAAGATCCAATGCGTATCTAAGAGAAAGGCCCACAATCAATTTGCGCCAAATGCTCTGTGAAAAGTTTCTGTTTTAACTGCTCTGTGAAACGAAGGAAAGGAACCAGACATACCTCCAAGGGAAATGTGTTCCAGAGTGTGGGGGCTACCACAGAAAAGGCCTGCCATCTAGTCCTTATCCTATGTATTTTCTACAGGTAGCAGGTCCTGTCAAGATGTTTGGACCTTACAGGCAGATTTACTTTTGGGATGGTGGTACCTGATATATCCTGGAATGTTATAGGTCAGGGTTTCTCAACCTCGGCAACTTTAAGATGGGTGGACTTCAACTTCATGGCTGGCTGGGGGGGGTAATTCTGGGAGTTGAAGTCCACCCATCTTAAAATTGCCGAGGTTGAGGAACCCTGTTATAGATGTTAACCAGGGCAGGTACCTTAACATAGACTTGATTTGATTATTATTTTAAATTTAGAGGCCACTTAGACTCCAGATAACTTTGGGTGGCATACATTTTAAAAATAAAACCAGTAAAATGAAAGGGAAAGTTTATGAACAAACACCATACCCCAAAGAAAAGCCAAGAAAGTCTCAGCAGCCACGCAACCGCCACACCTGGGAGCAAAGCCAAATCTTCAAAGAGTTTTTGAACCATGCGTGGGAACCGTATGGATCTCTGGAGGGATGCTCTCCCAGAGGGGAAGTGCCACAACAGAAAGCATGCTTCCTAAGTCCTGATAACATTGTTTAATTGAGGGGACCTGGCGTATGCCCACTCTGCCCGATCTTACTCGGTGGGCATAAATGATTGGAGATAGGTGGACCCTCAAATAATCAGGTCCTATGCCATGAAGGACTTTACAGGTGATAACTAGCACCTTGAATTGCACCAACTGGCAAACAGTGTAGCTTGCAAAGCAGAGGTGACAGATCAGCATACTGTGGTATGCCCATCATTGCTTGTAACACCACATTCTGGGCCAGCTGTAGCTTCTGAGTGATCTTTAAGGGCAGCCCATGTAGAGTAGATTCCAACAGCAAGTTCATCTTGCCAACAGCCTGGGTGCCACATTCTGTACCAGTTACAAGCTTCTGCATCATCTCCAAAGGCAGCCCCATGCAGAGTGCATTGCAACCATGTGATGATCAAGATGTGAGTTACAGTTGTCAGGGCATCCTGGTCTAAATAGGATCAGAACTAGCATACCAGCTGAAGCTGGACAAAGGTCCCCTTGGCTGTGGTTTCCACCTGCTGTTCAAACAGGAGCTGTGAATCCATGAGGACCTCCAAGGCCTTTGGTGGGAGTATGAAACTTCATTCACAGTAACTACCAGGATTAGTGTTGAGGGATTGCTCATAGGTTTACTGACAAATACCAACTCTGACTTGCTAAGATTTAAGCTGAGCTCATTTCCCTTCTCTAGCCCTTAACTGTTTCTAGATATTGATACAGCTTTCCATGGCATCTCTGGCTTAGCCTGGGGTAACAATGCATAGCTCAGTGTGATAATGACAGCTCATCCCAAACAGATGAGCTCACCTAGTTTTTCTACAGAGATGTTAAATAACATTGGGGAGGGCCCTGTGCCCTGAAAAACCATGCAATGTTTCTTATGAAGCACAGCAGCTTCATAAAATGGTGCTCCCAATTACCAATCCCTTCAGAAAGTTGATGGTATTGAATACAAGAAGTCTGATAAGACCAAGAGGGCCCACTTCCCCCATCTAGGTCCTGACTGCAGTAATTGACTAGAGTGACTAATGCTGTTTCCATCCCATAACTGGGCTTGAACCTGTACTGACAGGGATCCAGATAACTCATTTCCTCTAGCTGGATCCCTGCCATCTACTCAGCATTTCCTAAAAATAAAAGATTGGTGACCCAGCAAAAGTTGTCAGAAACACCTGAATCCAGAAAGGGCTTCTTGATGCACTCACTCATCACAGTGGATTTTGTCCAACAGGCATCCAGCCCAGACTGGATATGAGCGATTATGCCTGGAAAGATATAATTGAATTCACCTGGCAAACCTGCAGGCACCTTTTCTGCCCATATTCCCTAAAAAGATCTGGATAACTTTGAATGGGACCATTGGGAGCGATTCTGTGGCTGCGATAAGTGTAGAGAAGAATTGACACTCCATTGCTCTTAAAGCCACCATGTAGGCTTGAGTGAGAGCACTTACCAGTGTTTGTAAGTGCTAGTGCAAGATGAAACTGCCCACCATATTGTCACTTGCTGGGAAAATCTCAACATTCTCTCCGGAATCCTTCTGGATCCATTAATCACCACTGCCTAAGCAGAGAACCAGGGTGTCCATGATCTGCAGTTTGACAAGGAAGAAATTTGATCATGGCAAAGGACAGTTGTTGATGGCCTCCAGCTTTAGATCACATCTCATTTGCTCCATTATAAAGATCAGGTGCAGCATTTGTTTTCCCATGTATGTTGCAATTACCTGCAACAAGGCCATTATCACCATGGAAGCCTTGAATTCACAAGTTGCACTGGACCCTCCCATACAACATGGAGACGGAAGTCACCCAAGCATCAGGAATTCAAATACCAGCTCTGTGAAAGGCATGAAAGCTGGGAACTAGGTACACCAACAGCAGCCCTAGCTCGTCTCTGTGGCCCAATACCACCTGCAGGCAATTGTACCCAGCCACCACTGGAGCAGCGCTCCACAACACTACAGGTTTCCTCCCCAGCAGTCTCTGTTCTCTTCCTACAGTCCCTCTTAATCCATTTGGGTCTTCTCCAGTTCTTATTCACACTGACTTCAGAATGGCTTCTGGCACAGCTAGTGCTAAGTATCAGTGGTTGACACCTTCCTAGGAACACACCACACTCTCCTGCTCCATCAATGGTGGCTGCCAAATTCTTCTTACTATGTAGACAGATCCTACATTTACAGTCCTAATCAACAACATCAGCCATAGCCAGAGAATCAGAATTCCAAGACTCAGGTACCTGGTATAGCTGTTTAATTCTTAGTGGTGGTGATGACACACTTTCCCTGTAGTTCCACGACCGTCTTGCCAGCAATGCTGCCAATCCACAGGTACAATACTGGATTCTTCAAATTTTCCAGTGCATCTTTCCACTCTCTCCATATTTACGTTCCCCTCCTTGATTCATTCTGTTGACATCCATTACAATCCCCTTCATTTTGCAGGAATCCATCAGTAGTGTTACTATAGGTCTGTGGGCATGGGTGTGGGTATGTACAACTCCAAATCTGGTGTTGCATTGGGTCTCTAAATTCCCTAAACTGACTGTGACTTGGATGTAAGTTAAGGAAGCATGGCCTAGATTAGTCTGCTATCCTTCCAATATATTTGAATTCGTTGGTTAAAGGAATTGTGGGGATTATTATTGTTACAATCATTCTTCTTTTAATCTGCTCCATATCTGAAGCTCTCCGAGTGGATCATAACACCAGAAGAACAACTCAGCTGGAGAGCATTAAGTTAGGGAAGACTAACCTCATCGTTAGTAATGCGATGACAGGAACTGTAGGGATCTGTCGACACTTGCCCTATGTTGTGAACTACTGAGCCTGAAATCGCTCCATGTATCAGTCTGACTATTAAATTATTCTGGGTAGGAAAGAGGATAGGAGGGCTTTGGGCTCTAGGTGAGCTTGGATAGAACAACAAACTCTTTTTAGTCTCTGGCATTATATCATTGATGGTATCTCAGGCCTAAGTTCTACCACAGTGGCTGATGTGGGTCTTCTGGGCTGTGTGGCCGTGTTCTGGAAGTTTTGTTTCCTAATGTTTCGCCAGCATCTGTGACTGGCATCTTCAGAGAGCAGGAGCACAGTGACAGAGAGAACTGCTCCTGTCTGTGCTCCTGCTCTCTGAAG